CAACTCTATTGCCAGGGATTGTGGGTTAATTCAGTGCACGGTAACACCCAAAAAGCTCCTGAGATAAATAATAAATTTAGGATCGTCATGTAGCTAATCGTTAGGATAGCAATGATTGTATCGATGTTATGCGTCTCATAAAGAAGACCGATTTGAATTTAGCATGGCAAGAACAACCTCGAAAAATTCATGATACACTGCAAACGACTTTATTTTCGCGAATTTCGCGAATCGCCTACAATTCGCGAAAAAAAATGTAAACACATTGGAATCTATATCGCGACCGCACCGCGTCGCGAAAATTAGAGTCCGCGAATTATTCCAAAACTGCGGCCTCTTGGACGTCTCGATTTCACGATTTACTTGAGCATGTTTCAGCTGGAAGATATAGACTAGCTATTAATATTTTTTTTTTATAACTGTGAGTATTATTCAAAGTAACAAGAAAGTTGCCTACCTGCAAGTGTTTCCGCAAATTGGAGGTCGCCTTTCGGTTTATTGAATTTGTTTTCAGAAACGGTGCGGAGAGTTTGCTCCTCACGATTATAGTTTTTTACATTGGTGCTAATCTGTTTAGAGAATATTTCGCAACAAGGCCCCGGCAGCCTTTCCTTTTCCATTGTAGATAAGACTGTTGCAGCTTCTCAATGCAAAGCAGCACTGCGCTCCTCGGGACGGTTCCACAGGCCAAGACGAGAGGACAACGCGTGGAGGGTCACGATAGAGGTGTAAAAACAAAGTGCAAGCCAAGCCCTTTATAAAAAAAAGAAGCCTTCAACGAACAACAAATGCAAAAACAAGCTCCCTACAGCTAAAGCCGCGGTTTGTAAGTTTTGGAATCTCGTCCAATCAGGCTGACAAACGGTTGAAAGGGTTAGGTAGAGCGAACACTAAATAATGAAGATTTATACAAAAAGGTAGACGAGGATTGGGAGAAGGAAGAGCAGTGTAGCAACAACAGTTGGAAGTAAGGCAGGGTGCGTCGTGTTAATGAGACCTGCTGCTTCTTTCCTTCTTCGCCTCGATGTTAGAGTAGCACGACTTACTGTTAGTGGTATGAACATACGAGATAGAGGAGAAGGACGTGAAAAACTCATAAAGAAAAGAGAATAATTTCATGAACAAAAAAGTTCCAAACTTGACTGAAATATGTAAGCGAATATGCTAGCGGCGAAGACGCGTAAGGAGAACCTCGAACCTCCCCGCCTCAACCGGATGATGTGATCGGAGCCAACCAGCTCGACTTCGACCTCCGATGCCCCCGTGTGGGAATGAGAAATAAGAAAGACCCCTAGAAGCAGGAGCAACAGGAAGCAAACGAGACGAAGAGTCAGATTCAACTACGACAGAAACGAAAACGGACGCGAATGTAGCCCTCATTTATCAAATTATTTCTCAAATTCTTCATTAAATCGTTTTACAGTCTACAAAATCCTTCATTCCGTTCTATCCCAGCCTTTCTTTCCCATCCCCTTTTCCATATTTTTTTAGCAGGTTGGGAGACGCTCTCTCCCCTGTCGCTTTGGCTGTGCTGTCGTCTCCGTGGCCAGGGGGGAAAAGCGCCGCCGCCACAAAATCTTGCAAAAGTAATTGTAATTGTGCCTGAAATTTAGCAATTACTGACGCTACAAAGTAATTAAATTACAATTACAATTCCTTTTAGCCAAAAGTAATTATTACAATTACAAATTACCAGGAAAAGTAATTAAATTACAGTAATTTAATTACTGTAATTGAATTACTACCCAAGTATGGTCAAAACTCAAATCAAATGATGCGACACCATCCACAGTCCTCACTGCTGCTGTTATCCAAAAAACGAGGAACAAAAGCAGTTACACATAATTTAAACTAGGGACGAAGGGACGACAAGAAAAGCCATACACACTCATGGACAAGCACGTACAAAAGCCGCTAAATCGCACGATTGAGGCCTTCTTTCTGAGTCCCAATCATAGGTCGGCATTTTAGTGGCCCTTCATTCACCATCACATCACGAACAAAATCACGTCTCCAAATTCATTCGCATTCACGTCACAAGGTACTCCGACCTCCCAAAGTCACGGCCCTTCACATCCCGGCGTTCAACCGCGCCAAAACTTCATGCCCTTCACATCACTGCTTTCAAACTCCGCCGAAAATTCATCCCCTTCACATCACGGCGTTCATCCACGCCATTAATTCATCCCCATCACATCACCGTCACCTCTGAATTCACGGAGTCATTCACCATCACGTCACCAATTCCCGAAGTCATTCACCATCACGTCACCAATTCCCGAAGTCATTCACCATCACCACGAATTCATCGGAATTCACCATCGTGAATTCATCGGAATTCACCATCACATCATGACTTCATCCGAATTCACCATCACTTTACGAATTTATCCGAATTCACCATCACTTCACGAAGTCATCCGAATTCACCATCACATCATGAATTCGTCCGAATTCACCATCACATCATGAATTCATCCGAATTCACCATCACTTCACGAAGTTATTCACCATCACGGTCAACACGAATTCACCATTACATCATGCATTCCGCATAATTCACGAAGTCATTCAGGTTCATTCTGACTAAATTGGACTTCATGGCTGGTAGCCCTTCACGAGTTCGCACTTCTTGCGGAATAGGACTATGGCGCCTTTTTGTGTCAGCCATTTGAGACCAGGACCTGACTCCACCGGGGAAGTGGGGTATTTCGAGTGCGCGAAACACAACCCACATTGATAGAGCGCCAACCCAGCCAATGCCGCGCTGCGATCATGCCACATGAATGCACTCCGTGCGCCGCCGCGCGGAACCGCGAGGTCACATGATATGGTCTCGGCGCCGGATTAGGTGCGCCTGCTCGTGACGTCGGCTTCGGCTTCGTCTCTTCTGAAATGATACATGGCTGCGCCGCGTAGACGAAGCGGCGCTTGCTGCTATTAGTGCCCGCTGATAGCGCGGCTGCACCACGCACTGCCCGCTGATAGCGCGGCTGCACCACGCACGACTCGCGAGCGAAGCGGCACAGCGAGAGCCTTCAGAGATTCCGGACCATATGCCCCGAGACACGGAAGGACAAGGTCGGCAAGGAGTTCAATTGATTCATGAGGAACCGCTCAGAACAACGGCAAAATTAAGTGTCACGTGCCAAAAAAAAAAAAAAAGACTAGCCTGCTCTCTTCCCCCCCTCTCCTCCCCTTCATTGCCACTGCCACCGCACTTCCCTTATAAACGCTGTTGCTACGAAATTGCTCGACAAAGGGTCACCGCGCTGAGGCACGCACGGCTACGCAGCGAGACTGAAGCCCAAACCGCTAAAGTCAAATGGGTTACTGTGGTTTGCGGTGAAGGATGGAAACAACCAGCAAGCAAGCAAGCACCTGCGTAACATGTTTTCCGCCTATTCTGAATGCATAACCGCATTTACTATCACGTCGAGAATTAAGTTCACGGTATTACTTCCCATCACGAACTTACCAAGTTCACGAACCACGCACATCACAAATTCATCGTGCTCACGAGCCATTCTCCATCACGTCACGAATTCGTTGAGTCATTCACATCACAATGAATTCTATTCACTTCACGAAGTCCTTCACAATCTCAACAGATCATGAGTTCATTCAAATTCACGAAGTCATTCACCATCACATCACGACTTCATTCAACATCACATCACGAATTCATTCAAATTCACAAAGTCATTCACCATCACATCACTACTTCATTCACCATCACATCACGAATTCATTCAAATTCACGAAGTTATTCACCATCACATCATGACTTCACGACTTCATTCACCATCACATCACGAATTCATTCAGATTCACGAATTCATTCACCATCACATCACGAATTCATTCAAATTCACGAAGTCATTCACCATCACATCATGATTTTTTTCGAATTCTAGAATTCATTCAGAGCCATTCAGACTCACGCCGTGAATGTGAACGAAGGTGAATGAGCGAGTTTATGAATGAATTTGCCGAGATATGGTCCCAATGTCAGCAGGATGCCTCATTTGGCAAGTTCCACCACCAAGCAGAAATGTAGTTTAGATAGATTCTAAGAAAGTGGAAAACTAAATCAAAATTGAAACTATCGTAATACCCTGAGATATAGCCCACCTAAAATTGAAAGCAAATTGGGTGAAAATGACAAGGCTAACTTTCGTTGTGTGATAAAAAAAGAACTTGAAAAGAAACATTTAGTTTGATATTTTTGTTGGCTGCAAACTTTTGCGGGGAGAAGTGATGAACCAAAAACTACTGTCCTTCCCGGACAGCAGTTTTCTCTTATTGGCCAAGTAACACCATTTCTGCCGAGCTCACCATTGGCCAGGGCCCTGTCCTTACTGAAAGTGGGCTATCTTTCGGTGTTTTTAAAACAATGTCGAGTCGTGCCAAAAATAGGGGGCTGGTTATCTTTCGGGGGTGGGGCATCTTTAGAGATGTTACGGTACAGTCCTTCGGCTATCCACGAGATGGTGCCACCTGTTCCCGAGCGCCAAAGTCGAATTTAAGTGGCACACAGAAGCCATCTATCAATGGCAAGGTTCCAAAGAAGTAAATCGCTACGTGTCGGGCATGTCCAGTCCAGCAATTTTAAAGTAACCAATGTACCGTTTCGCTTTGTGCGGCACACCCCTCCTCCAGATATTCCACAATCTGAGTAAAAGTGCTATCGCATACATTACCAGTATGGGCTAAATCAGAATTGTGAATCTTGTATTCCACACGATTTTGATTTACTTTGGAGCTTAAAATTAATTAATTAAAGAGTGCCTCTTTTTAAATTGCCTCGCGCACTTGGTTTATTTTCATTAGTATCTCTGATTACGTGTCTAACTGTGGCCTTTTGTTTATTTTGAGCCTGCCATTCTCGTCACTTTCGGCAAGTGCACCAAAGCCCGAGGTGTTGAAATGTTTAGCGCTCGTAGGAGCATGGTTCCTTTTGCCGCTGCTACGGTCCCTGAGGGGGTGCTTTCTTACAGTGGCCTCGTCGATGGCCCTGGGCTTTGTGACGATGCTCTTCCTCAAGGTGGTCTCGTACCACATGGTGAACCTGTGGTGCCGCCAACAGAGGGCCTCCCACAAGCACCACAAGCGGCGGTCCTCCTCCGGAAACGACAGTAAGGCTGTAATGAGAGCACCACGCTGCTCCCCCGTGCTTCTTCGCGTCTTAGCTGGCAAGCGGGAGTTTGAGGAGCACAATAAGTTGGCTTTTTTGGCATTTTCCTTGTCTGTTGCACTGAATAGACATTTTGCTGTTTATGAACGCAGAAGTGAAGAGGACAAGACGAAACTTGACCATGTCAGCCGTTTCACAGCTTGTATGATTACCAAATTGTTTTCATGGCACGATTAAATGGCACAAAGTCGTACGAGAGTTTTTTCTGTATTTCTGGTGTTAGCCTTTGTGGTCATGTGCATGTTGACCACAAAACGATGTTCACATAATAGCTGCTAAGTTGCCATATATCCAAAAACTGACTGCAAAAGGTTAAATAATATTTCTAAATTAATTTTTAAAGTACTAGTTTTAGGTACAAAAATTGCAAAATAAGCTGTCTATGTAGCATTGTGCCATTAAAAGAGTACTACGGCGTTTTCTTTGCGGTCCACGATTTGTCTGGAAATTTTCTAAAACACCAACACGCGTCGGTGAATTAAAGGGGCACTGACACATCAAAATTTTTTTTTTTTTTATTATCCGAAACGATTGAAAACGATGCGGGACATTACCCTCAAAATTTGAAATTTGGGAATTTAGTATTTTTGAAGTAAAAAAACAATTTCCAAATGCCGAATTTGAAGTTCTCGTGCGATCCGCGCCGGTGCGATGACGTCAAATATTGCGGAGTCCTGAGAGTCCACTTTCTTTCACGACTCCCTGCTGTTGCCATGGCGACCCAAAGCGAGGAGGAAAGAAGCGAGCGCCGGCGTTGCGGCGGACCGGTTTTTAGGGGTGTCGCCTGTTTTCCGTGGGAGGATACAAATCCAGGAGACGGCACCACAACAAACTCCCGATTTTTGGTATTTCAAAAAGAAGGGCCGTAGTGCGTTCGCAGTTGCATTAAAAAACATGTTTTAGGATTGCCGTTATTAAATGTTATAAAGATGTCGCCTACAAAGCTTCTAAATTTCATGATTCTTGACGTCACGAATCAAAAGAAGCGAGGAGGCGAGAGGCGGGAGAATCAAACGCCAAAAATAAAAAGGCGCGTGTGGGAAAATTTTTTTTCGCAATACGTTTTTTTTTGCATATCTATGACTGCAACTTGCATCGTTTTATACAATAAAAAAATACGACCTTTGCGGTGTCAGTGCCCCTTTAATAACTAAACTGTTATTCCAAAATATTCCTTTTTTTTTCTTGCAAAGTTATCAAATTCACAATTTCGGTCCTCATAGTGTTTTTCAAACTGAAAGTCTTTACTGGCAGCAACGACAAGTGACGCCAGTGGCAGGGAGGGGTTCACTCTTTGGACTGTTTGGATTTGTTCCCAGCTGATTCCAAGAAGTTTCATGGCGTCAAATGAATACTTTGGATGCTCGCTCCAGCACTGGCGCATTAGCACCAAACAAACGCTCTGCATTGTTCATTTTCTGCACTGCCCGTTCGACTGGCGATCCTGCCTGCCACTGAAGTCACAGCACTAAAAAGTGTGGGTATATTTGAATGTTGGTTTTGTTGTGTTGTCATTTTCATTTGCCGGTTTCACAATAAGTATTCAGAATTTCGCTCTACTAAATAGCGTACTCGATAGGGTAAAGGCCGGGGATTCAGGATATATAGTTATTTGGGGTAGCTAAAAAAAATCGCCAAAGTAAAAAGCAACTCAGCTTCATTTTTTTTTTTTAACAGTGCAGTCTTTTTTAGTATCACTTAGGAAGACCACACGTCAAATATTACGACGTAGTTTTGTCTAAATGTTTCTTAAACGGTCCGGCAAACTTTGCAACTCGCCAAGTTGCCGAAATCGGCTGATTGAGCGGGCGAATTGAGGCACAACCAGAGACGCAGTCAAGGCTACACAGCGTGGGCGTAGCCAACATTGAGCTAAACTTCATCACCATTGCCCCTTCTGTTTGTTTTTACTTCTCCGGCCAAGTGTAATGGGTGACATCAGCAACGTTCTCTCTCGGCGCTCAGCGGTGTCCACGTGATTTTCGTGCCTGCGCCTGCGCAGGGCGCTTCTTGGGAGCCATCCGGCCGCCCCGCCGTTAGCGCCGTCTCCCGCGTCACAACTGCCGTCGTCGTCTCATCGTTTGTGATTATTCTCTCGGACAGGGTGTCTAGTGACCTGGAAAACCGGGAATTTTAGTTACCGGGGAAATTTTGGGAAATTTTAATTACCGGGAAAAATCCTGGAATTTTCAAGGATATTGTCGAAAAGCGAGCCCAGCCATGAAAAATGAACCAGAAATGCCGTCGAGTGCCCTGAGACGTGAGGACTGGGGGGCAGAAAAATCGGTAATAAATTTGGAGCGGAGCGCGGGCTCTGCTCACCTGATGTAGAGTGAGTTACCCGATGCAAAGAGAAGAGCCGACAAATCCAGTCCAAGCCTTGCCTTGCCTTGCATTGGATTGGATTGAATTGAATTGAGAGCGTGATACTAGACTAGATCCAGTTAGAGCTTCTAGATTTAGTAAAAAATGAGAAAGCCGCCGACCCCATTCCAAACCTTAAGACGAGCGTAACTGAAAGTGTGCATCTGGCGGCCATGTTGCCATTCGGTTATTGACGTGTGTGGTTGAGCGTTGTGTTTTCATCGTGTTTCTGGAAGTGGCCTCTTCACTGACGATGTCGGCGGCAAGAAAGTGCTTGTTTAATCCATACTGGACGAACCCGAATATTTCAGAATATCAAAGTTTAATGAAGCCCATGCAAAATTATTGTCACAGTGCTCAATGCTCAATGACTTGTATCGTAATGGTATTATATATTTAACCGCCTCTACAGTGGTCAGGGAATTTCACTTGAAATTGTCAGGGAAGACCTGGAAAAGTCAGGAATTTCAAAAGAATAATTTGCTAGACACTCTGCTTGGAGTTTTGTCCACACTACTGATACTTTGTGCTCAGACTTATGCCACAGTTGTGCAGACGTCGTCGAATGTCGTAGACACTAAAACGTGGTGAAGAGTGTGTTGCACACGACATTTGCGCCTGGCACACGCGGGTGGTTATCATTTGAGCCTGTTCTCGTTTCGACCTTCTCACTTGGTTCTTCTCAAAACAACCATTCTCAAAAAGATCTTCTCTCTTGGACCTGTCGCATTTGGTCCTTTCCCGTTTCGTCTTTCGCATTCCAACCCTTCTCATTTCGGCCCGTTCTCGTTTCACCCTTTCCATCTGGCCCTTTTCAAAACAGCCATTCTCAAAAATATCTCACTTTGACCCGTCGCACTTGGCTCTTTTCATACCAAAGTCGTTTCTTTAGGGTAATATTAATACATTGACATAATTTGTGTGTGTGTGTGTGTGTGTGTATGTGTGTTCCTCACTACAGGCATATTCTCTCTGCTAAGGATTTTAGCAGTGCGTCAAGGTCGTCGTGAAAAGCTACTAGCTGACAATAAAGCAGACCAACTATTTATTGCAGCCAGATCATATTCTGAAATGTCGCGTTGTTTGAGGTCTCTCGACTTGGGACAATGCCACCACTTCTATAATGCAGTGGTTCTCAAAGGGGGGTCTGCGAAGACATCCTAGGGGTCCGCGAAGCCCTGTCTCAGCAGTCAGGCACGGCAATATTAGTCGTCTTTCTTCACGTTGAGAAGAAACGTTCCAATCTTCGGGAGAGTACTCTCGTGTGTATGCCAATGAGACAAGTCTACTTTACACTAGCAATTAGTTATTTCCATTTATTAAATAATTATCATGATAACCTATACATTTCTATTCCCCTCACCCCGAATGCGGTCCTCCATCACCTCCGCCTTTCTACAAGGCGTCCGAGAAACATGCATGGTTGAGAACCACTGCTATTATGTATGCCATTTCTGTTCAAACAAAGTTTCCAAATTAAATGTTCATCGCTTTTTTTTTTCTCTCGTTTGCTTAGAGGAAGGGAAGCAGGCGTCAATGTACGATTCTCAGTGCGTACCTCTACACATAACATATATCTGATGGTGTGTTGGGGGTCCAAGCAAGGTAAGGCTCATCAACAAAGCCGCGAAGGCATAACGACGTTAGAGGCATGCCGAACTAGTGCCATTCGGTCGTAGCGCGAACGGGCGAAATGAGAATGGGCCCAGTTGCGAAAAACACGATTCGGATCTTATGAGAAGGTTCAAACAAGAAGGACCAAATGAGAATCGGTCGAAATGCGCAAGGTTCAAATGCGAATGGGACGTTTTGAGATACACCCGGCACACGCCTGCCCCAATCCCACCCGTTGTTGTGTAGAGGATCACGTGACATCTAGATACCTGCCATCTCTTCCGAATCTTCTGTAAAATGTATGAATTGGGACTAATTTTATGATTTTACGAATTTTGTTTTGAATTTTACAAAAAAATGCTAAAAAGAGTCCACTGCTGGCGGTACTTTGCACAGCCATCAGCGGTAAAGGTACCAGCAGTACCTTGACCACTCTGCCCTAGATAGGTACCGTCCATGGCAGCTTTGTGGTTTCTACTATCCGTCTATCAGATGGCCACCACGGATCCAAAAGCAATTCAAAGCCCAAAGCCTTTGTTTGTGTGTTCGGTGGCGCACATTGCTTCGGCATGTTCAGCCGTGGTTCGACCTCGCTGTTTCGGTCAGTTCGTGGCAAGCAGTCCCGCGTCTGTGTTTGTTGCACGTGGAATCATTAAAGCATTCCCCTAGTTGCGGTGGCTTCGCGGCGCAATGAAAGACTCCAAACCTCAAAAAATGTACTTTCAGGTGTTCCTGAAGTCTTACATGTCGAAATTCACATGTGTCATGCTGTCCAAAAAGAGAGAGAAGTTTGGATTCGGTATCAGCAGCATATGCCGTTTTGTTACGGCATTCCCTGCACTGCTGCCTCGGCGGAGCAATGAGTCAAAGGTTGAGGCATTGGACGCACTGCAAGTTGAGTTCGCCAACCTGGAAGCATATAATAACCTTTTGTTGGATATATTGAGCGAACCAAGGAGCGAC